AATTACTATTGAATTACTTCAATTCAATCAAATTCATTGGTGTGTCCCCAGTGCCTAGCATGGGAGTTGCCACAAAAATGAGAAGTTGATAGGTATTTTTTGAATTAATAAGAATCATAAATTCTCCTACTGGGAATATACCTGGAAGAACTCAAATCACTCTATGAAAAAGATACCTGCACATGCATGTTTATTGCAGCACTATTCACAATTGCAAAAACATGGAACCAGCCATGATGCCCATCAAAAGAGGACTGGATTTTTAAAATGTGGTACATATACACAATGGAATATTACACAGCCACAAAGAAGGATAAAATTATGAATTTCACAGCAACTTGGATGGACTCAGAGGCTATAATATTGAGTGATCTATCACAAAAACAAAGAATAAAGTGTCACATGTTCTCATTCATAAGCAGACCTTGAACAACTATCATAATGCTATAAGAAAGAGACTGGCAGTAGTGGGAAACTGCCAGGGAAGGGCAGGGGCAGGTGTGGCAGTCGTGGGAAACTATCAGGGAAGGGAGGGGCACACTTATCAACAAGGGTAACTGCATAATGAACATTTGTACACTTAACCCTAAATTGTACTCCACATATTTAAAATAAAAAATTTACTCAAAAAACAAAAATAATCATAGATGTTCATGTTGTATTAAAGGTATATGGAAGTGATGTCAGAAACCATTTTTTTGGTTAATGTCAAGCTAGTCACCAGAGAATCACTTCAAATTTTAAACATTATTGCGATTTGAATGATGTGTGTTTACAAATCTTTTTTTTTTTTTTTTGTAATTTTCATATGCAGACAAGATTCTACCTATTATTTTAGTCTATTCCCAAAATTTGTATTTTGGTTGTAAAAACTTAATATAGAGTTCTTTCTAGTTTTCAACTTTAATGTCTGAAGTTTCATGGAACTCTTTACATTTTTGTGAAACTTTCAACTACAGTTTGTTTTGGCCAGGATGTCCACATGACATCCTCATCCAAGGCAGAGCATCTTCTTGGCTCTACTCAGCTACGTGCCAATAACTAAAGTCCACATCGGATGTGTTTTTATGGTTCATAATACACTATGAGATGGCATAATTCTGAAATCTAGGTTTGGGGAATGCTCTCGAATCTGCTATGAAGTTGTGCATAGAACAGGAGTTTAGTTCTATGTCCTGTCTTTTAGGGAGAGAACTGCTAAAGGGATCTCGGCCTCTAGGAATCAACTCCTGTCAGAAGCAAGGGTGATATAGAGGATAGGCAGAAGACATGAATGTAGCTATAAGGAAAAAACAAAGCAACAAAAAAACAAAAACAAACTAAGTGCTAAGCTCTTCTTAGGAAGGATCTAAGACTCATATGAATTTAATCTTCCTTCCCCACAAAGATAAAGCTTCCCTCCTATCTTGGAACCTGCTGCACCCTACTGTAGTATTTCTACTTTACCTGAAAGTTCATTTGGTCTTGCTATGCTGCCCAGACTAGAGTGCACAGTCCCACTACTGATCAGCACAGAAATTTTTATCTGTTCTGTTCCCTACCTGGGCTGGTTTTTCCTTAGATAATCTATGAATCCCCACTCCTGGGAGGTCACCATGTTAATGCCAAACTTAGTGCAGACATCCAATGGACATAGTACACTACAGCCCAGCACTCCTGAGCTCAAGCAATCTCCTTGCCTCAACCTACTGAGTAGCTGGGACTACAGGCATGGGCCACAACAACTGGCCATTTGAACATTTTTGTGAAATTTCTTTCTGATTTTTCCTTTATAGTTGCCTTAAATGCTTAGACATTTCATTAACCCATATTTTATTTAGAAATGTTGCCTTTAAGATTTCTGACATCCTAAGAAAATTTCTAGACTTGAAACTTTTAGACTTGAAATAAAGGACTCTACCCAAGAACTCTAGTTCTCTGGGATTCACAGGAAACAGAATGTCTTTGTATCAGTGGACGATTTGCATTTAGAATTGACTCTGTGCTACTGTTGTATTGGGACTAAAGTTGTGCTTTTTATTCTTTTTTTTTTGAGTCAGGGTCTCACTCCGTCACCTAGGGTGGAATGCGGTGGAATGATCACAGCTCACCTCAGCCTCAACTTCCTGGGCTCGGGCGATCTTCCCACCTCAGTCTCCAGTTTAGCTGGGACTACAGGTGCATAGCATCATGCCTGAATAGTTTTTTAAATTTTTTTTGTGGAGAAGAGGTCTCGTTAAGTTGCTCACGTTGGTCTTCAACTCCTGGGCTCAAGCAATCCTCCCACTTCAGCCTCTCAAAGTGCTGGGATTACAAGCATGAGCCACTGCACCCGGCATAAAGTTGTTCTTTCCAGAAATAAATTTCCTGAAATCCGCCCATGAAATGTTATGAAGCTGTGCAATGTAGTAGTTAATAAGGAAGAATGTGGAGTTTGAATCTTGGAAATATCACTTACTAGCTACGTGACTCATTTACAAAAGGAAGATACATGTTACTTACCTCCTAGGGCTATTGTGAAGATTGGACATCTGTGTAAAGCCCTTAGCATGGTGCTGAGCATATGGGCGCCCTCTGTAAATGCTGGCTATTCTCATTTCTTTTGGTGGGAATGACGATAAGATGATGATGCAAGAGAGAGGGAAGAAAAGGAAGAACAAGGAGAAGGAGGAAGAGGAGGAGAGGTAAAGCGAGGAGAAGGAAGAAGAGGAAGAGGGAGAAATAAAAGGAGGAGGAGGAGCTTCTGCCACCAGCTTCCTGACTGATAAACCAAATACCAGTTTTTTCCTAGTGTCCTCTCAGAGTGAACTCATGTTAACTCTGTGATTCTACCTAGAATTGCCCTCCTGTCTACCTTCTCTTACACTAACTGAAGATTCATCCCTCACAATAATTTGTCTTCTGATGTTTGAAAGTTATTTCATAAGATAATGTCATAGCTTATTTCTTATTCTCATTTTCCCAGATCTTCCTTCTTTCCTACATGTCTTACCCTCTTCCTGGGGTCTGCCCAGGTGTTCTCTTGTTTTCTCTTTTATACCTTTTCACCAATATATTGTCACTCTTTTTGTCTCCATCACAGATTAGAAAGGAATGAAAGAAACATCGATTGAACTGCTCCCACATGCCAGACACTGCCTTAGGCACTAAGTTGTACTTAAGTCACTCAGGTATTAATTTTATATACTGAGAAATCAAGAGGGATTAAAACTTACTCAAAATTACACTATCATGTGTACACTATCATGTGTACACTATCGTGTGTTTTTAATTATATGATTTATTAATTTTATGATTGTCATAATCAAGATCCAAACACAGTCTTTCTAACTTCAAAGTCCTACTTTCAACCACTAACCATGAGAGCACAGAGTAGCAGTGGAGAAAGAAGGCAGAAAGTTTCTGCGGGGAGAGGCCAGGAAAGGTAAGAAACTATCCAAAACTAATGCCAGTCTCATGCTGTAGTTAGGGGTAGGCCCTGCTACCCACCCCTAACTACAGTGGGTTGGAATTGTGTTACTGCCAGAGCTCGCTGCAAAGGCAGTTCTGGGAGGTCTGAAGGGTACAGAGAATATAGGTGGCATCTCCAGCCCACCCAGGGGGAGAAATCATAGACCAAGAGAAACCTGTAAGATTAGTGTTTTTGTCAAGAAACGTGAGAGCATTTTGAATCAAGACTGTCATTCTTAACTTAGAGGCAAAAGGTACCTCTGGTCAGTTGTATATTTTTGGAACATGTGTCACCTTTGTGTGGTCCCAAGTAATGACATTACTATGGTTGCTGTCAAATTTCCTGATGTTATTGGGAGAAACTCTCAAGGAGAAAATGATAATAAAAGCCTATATTGCCAGAAGGGTGGGCGATCTGAGGTCTGGTCCAATTGCACTAGCAAACTCAACTCCAACGTCAGCTGAAGATTCTGCAGCCCCCTCAAACAGCTCAACTGAATGTTTAGGGCAGGGGAGATAGGGATGGACTTGGCCATAGTCCAGCACATTCTGATCAAATTGGAACTCAGAGTAGTATCAAGAATTTACTTGCGTAATTGTCCAGTTTTTCTTGTTACTTCTCAGAGAACATGAGGCTCCAACCACATTTCAATGGTCCATGGACCACACAGACTCATGACTGTCTTAGAAAACCATGTAATGAAACTGACCATTTTTGTTAAAGAGCAAAAACCAACCCAAATGCCTTGAAAGTCTGCAGATAGAACCCACCCAATGAAATGAAATTTTAGAAAGAAGAGAGTCAAGTAACCAGCTTGTATGTGGGGAAATGGTTAGGTTAACTCCGAAAAGGAAAAGTAGAAACTCGAAAAGTTTCCAAGTGGATCCAGGTGAATAGGGCATGCCATTCCTTTTTTGGGAATGCTTTCCTAACCACTGAGGTCCTTTGTTTATTTCTCTATGAAAGCTGAACATTTAAGAATTCTATTTTGGAAAGAGAAATGTATATACAAACAGGTATTTAGACAATTTAGAAAAATGTATCCTTGGAAAGTGAGTCTTTAGAGAGCTCCATGTCAGAAGGCCAACAAGAAAAGTACATGTAGTCATTGAGTTAATAAGAAATTATTTCACTGAAAGAACAAAAAAATCATTAAGCAAAACTCAAAGTTTAATGTTACTTGGTAAGAGAAAGACATTATGCTTCTATTACCTTTCTGTGAGTGGATGCATCCAATAGTCTTTTGTTTATCTGGTCCCCCAATCTTGGCCGTTGCTCCCCTCCTCTCCAGTTGATGAGAACCTCAGCAGGGTGTATTTGTTTTCAAGATTGGGTTGCAGAGAAAACACATTCCCCTTGGTAGAGATAATGACTTGGAAGATCTCAGATCTTGTTCCCAACCCTGGCATTTGGAAAACATCAGGCAGAGACTCATTAAGAGTCCCAGGGGAATTGGAGTTCAGAAATTTTCATAAAGGAGTGAAGGGGGAAAAAAATAACTCCAGAGAGTTGGAAGAAAATAACAAAATGATATTTGGTGAACATACATGCTAGAAACTACTGCATATGTATGGCTGCAGAGAAAGAACCTGTGGCCCTAACTTGGGTCCGTGAACAAGGTGGAGGTCTAAGGCTCAGGGTGCTTATGTTCAGTTTCTTTCTTGGGAGGAGGAACAGGGGAGGAAGTGGGCTCCCTGTTAGGGTGGAACCAGATGTGAAGGGTGGGGCTGTGCCTTCTGTCCAACTGGGCAGTACAGGTCAGTTTGCTCAAGTAAAGGGAATTGACTATAAGATTCTATATCAGGAATGGCAGCTCTCAGCAATAAACTAAACTTCATCCTTTCATAAAACCATCTGTCTCTCTTTTTTGCATTTTCCTCTCTTGATAACAGCTTATTTACGCTTACTCAAAGTATCTGTTTCCTCTAAATTCAGGCTTGTACTTCACCTCGGTCTGTCTCAGCCTTCTACCTTGGGCATTTCTTGATGCATCTTTCTTCTCTCATCTCCCTCTCTTCTCTCAGTTTCCTAATTTCAGTTCTCCCAGAGGATTGATCTATATTCTTCCCTTGTACCACCCCTAATCCAGAGTGAATTGTAACTTAGCCAAGCTCTGGGTTGGGCTGCCTTGTTAGTGGCTTATCTTGGTCCTTTCTGTGTGGCTAGGGAGACAGGATCAGGTGACAGAAAGCCTAGCCATGCCCTCACATAGCTTGGCTGAAGGTGGGAGCTCTGATGCAGCTGTAGAGAAAACTCTTTTCTTGAGAATAACAGTTGGCAAAATGAAGCATGCCCTTTGAAAGGTACAGGACTTCTGTATATGTATCCTTGTTGATGAGGTGTGGCCTGCCCCCATCTCCAGGCAGTTTCCCACTACTGTCAATCCTTTTCTTATAGCATTATAATAATTGTTCAAGGTCTGCTTGTGAATGAGAACATGTGATACTCAGTTCTGTTTCTGTGAAAGATCACTCATATTATAGACTCTAAGTCCATCCAGGTTGCTGTGAAGTTCATGATTTTGTTCTTCTTTATGACTGTATAATATTCCATCGTGTATATGTACCACATTTTTTTAACCAGTCCTCTTTTGATGGGCAGCACGGTTGGTTCCATGTTCTTGCTACTGTGAACAATGCTGCAATAAATATATCAGCAGGTATCTTTTTTATAGAGTGATTTGAATTCTGGGTATATTCCCAGTAGGGGAATTGCAGGGTTGTATAGAAAGTTGATTTTTAGATCTTTTAGGAATCACCACACTGTTTTCCACAGAGGTTGTACTAGTTTACACTCCCACCAACACTGTAGAAGTGTTCCCTTTTCACCACATCCTCTCCAGCATCTGTTGTTTTTTGAGTCATTGATAATAGCCATCCTGACTGAAGTTAGGTAGTATCTCAGTGTAGTTTTAATTTGCACTTCTTTGATAACTAGTGAGACTGAGCATTTTTTCATGTATCTGTTGGCTGCTCATATGTCTTCTTTTGAGAACTGTCTATTCCTATCTTTCACCCACTTTGTAATGGGGATTTTTTTTTTCTTTTCAACACGTTTGAATTCCTTGTAAATCCTAGATGTTAGGCCTTTGTCAGACATATAATTGGCAAATATTTTTTCCCAGTCTGTGGGCTGTCTTCCTGCTCTCTTAATGGTTTCTTTGGCTTTGCAGAAGCTTGTCAGTTTGATGAAGTCCCACTTGTCTATCTTATCTCTTACAGCATGAACACTTGGGATTTTTTATCAGGAATTGGCTGCCAGTTCCAATTTCCAGAAGATTGTCTCCTGCATTTTCTAAGGTTCTTATATAGTTTGAGGTTTTACATTTAGGTCTTTGATCGATTTAGAGTTGATTTTTGTGTATGGTGATAGGTAGGGGTCTTGTTTTAATTTTCTGCAGTGGTCAGCCAGTATTCCCAGCACCGTTTACTGAATAGGTTCTTCTCTCCCCAGTGGTTGGAGGTGGAGGCTTTATCGAAGGTGAGCGTGTTGAAAAATTAAGGTTTTGCTTCTGGAATCTCTATTCTATTCCATTGGTCTAAATGCCTGTTCTTGTACCAATACCAGGTTGTCTTGATTATTGTAGCTTTATAATAGAGTTTAAAGTCTGGAAGTGTGATACCTCCTGCTTTTTTTTTTTTTTTTTTTTTTTGCTGAGGATTGTTTTGGTGATTCATGGTCATTTATGTTTCCATATGAATTCCTGTATTGTCGTTTCCAGTTCTGAGAAGAATGCTGCTGGTAATTTAATGGGTATTGCATTAAGTCTGTAGATTGCCTTGGGTAGGATGGACATTTTAACTATGTTGGTTCTTCCAATCCATGAGCATGAAATATTTTTCCATTTGTTTGTATCATCTTTGATTTCTTTGCACAGTGTTTTATAGTTTTCATTGTAAAGGACTTTCACGTCTCTGGTTAGGAAGATGCCAAGGTATCTGATTTTTTTTCTGGCTATTGTGAATGGTATTATGTTTATCATTTGGGTTTCTGTTTGTTTATTTTTGGTGCACATTGATTTTATACCCAGAGACTTTGCCAAAATACTTTATCAGTGCAAGGAGGTTTTTGACAGATTCTCTTTGGGTTTTGAGGTATAGAATCATGTCATCTGCAAAGAGGGATAACTTGACTTCTGCTTTTCCTATTTGGAAAAGCAGATCTCCTTCTCTTGTCTGATTGCTGTAGCTAGGATTTCCAAAACTCTGTTGAAAAGGAGAAGTGAGAGTGGGCAGCCTTGTCTTGTTCTGGTTTTCAGGGGAAATGGTTCCAAATTCTGTCTGTTTAGCAGCATGCTGGCTGTGGGTTTCTCATAGGTGACTCTTACTATTTTTCAGTATGTTCCAACCTTGCCTAGATGTTTGAGGTTTTTAATCAAGAAAGGGTGCTGGATTTTGTCAAACACTTTTTCATGTCTAATGATATAATCATGTGGTTTTTATTTTTACATCTGTTGATGTATTTAATTACATTTATGGTCTTGAATTGTCTTACTTTTGCTTTTTGAAAGAAAAGCACCCCCCATCCCATCCCCATCCATCTTCACATATTACCACTCTACTTTGTTCCAGAGTATAAGAATTGTTGGACCGAAGGAAGGGCAGTGCAAATGCCAGTGTGGAGTTCTGGAATCACAAGAAGTACAGTGCTAATGCTCGTGCAGAGAATTGGAAGTGCTGTACCTACTGGCCCCACATTCCCTAGGTCAGGGCCTTTCCAACTTTTTGCTTTCAACACAGTTGAAAGAAAATGCATCCGCTGGTAGTTCATCCAAAATAATCCTTGATGATAAATGACAATATTGCTTTTGGGTCATGTCTCAGGTCATTCGGACTGCTATAACAAAATACCTAGGACTGAGCGATTTGTAAACAAAAGGAATTTCTAGCTCATAGTTCTGGAGGAGCTGGGAAGCCCAAGATCAAGGTGCTAGTAGATTTGGTGTCTGGTGAGGCCTGCTCTCTGCTTCATAGATGGCTCCTTTTTTCTCCATCCTCTCATGGTGGAATGAAGGGGCAAACAAATCCCTCCACATCTCTTTTATAAGGGCATTAATCTCATTCCTGAGGACCTTATCCTTATTCCCCACCCCTAAGTACCAGCATATTGGGGGTTAGGTTTCAAAATATGAATGTGGGAGTAACAGACACATTCAGGCCATAGTAGTGTACTACTTGACAGAAGTTCGAAGATTGAGTGACATTTGGGCAACAGATTTTTTTCCATTCACAATGCCCTACTTATGTTGAATAAGTTTTATTAGAACCTACAACTTTGGAAATAAAGATAGAAATAGGATTGTTGTCGAACGTCTCGTTTCAGTAGGAAATTTTTGATTTTGGGCTAAATAAACTAATTGAGGAATTAAAATACCCAATTAATTCATTAACAACTACATTTCCAATAGAATTTGTAGTTTTAATTTTTAATAATTGTTATCAAAGTTTAAATTTATGTATGCTTTTGATGAATTATACTATTAATATGAATATACTACTAATAAATATAATGAAAGATAATCCAAAAGAAAAAGTCTTGTTAAGACTTAGAGACTTATAATAATAGGAAATAGAAATATTAAATTTACATACATATTTTTGTTGCAGAGAAGTATAATAGGGTGGGCTATTAAATATGATTTTTATGTATAAAAATATGTTAGGATACATGTGGGAGAGTGGGATGGAAATATAAATTCAAAAATAAAAGTAAGCAATGTAAATTTCTGTTAAAGAGCTTGTGTGCATATATTTTAAGCTGATGATGGTAAAAGTTAAATTGCTGTGACATTCTGATTCATTGCATACATCTAAAATAATGCTGCAGCAATTTTATCTTAAAGGTCACATTTATAATACTCCAGAAATTATATTCTTTGTTACTATTTAAAGAGAAGATGAAGGTTTTAGATGTTAAAAAGAGAAGAAAGAGGTACATAGTTTCAAAACTCTTATAGGAGTATAAGAGCAAAGAAGTCTGAGTGACTCTCCAAGCTGGAGTGTCACTAGAAAGAAGGTATACATACCAGAGTCCACAGACTCTGTTTCTGCCACTTATTAGCTCCGTGACTTTGCACAAATTACTTAAACAGATCTACTTTGTTTTTCCTGCACAATAAAAATAATACTGTCCTTACTAAATCATGGTGAGTTTTAGTAAGGTGACACTCTTAGCAGTGAGTCCTACATGTCATCAATGTATCAGTTTCTCTTTACTTCCCTAATGCCTTTGTGAGTCCTCTCTCCATCCCTCTCATTCTCCCTTCCTCCACGCTGTCAAGTACATCCAAAGTCAACCTCCTTTTACATCGCCCATTAAATATACTTGGTTTACATTCAAAAGTCCCAAAGTTTCTTCCATAAGTTCACCCAACAAACACATATGGAGCACTTAACTACATTCTAGGTACTATGATGGTACTGGAGATGTATCTGTGGATAGAAAAAGGCAAAATCCCCATTATCATAGAGTCCATATGATAAGTAAGTACATGGTGGTGAGAATGCATGGTTAATACCAGCATTATGGCGTCCTTTCACTGCCTTTGGTTAATGGGAGACCAGTTACATTTCTGCAGATTGGCCCATCCATTCCTCTATCCATCCGACCATCTGTCCATCCATTCACCCAACCATTCAGTTAAAATGTACTGAGAAGCTCAAAACCAGGCATTCTTCCTCCAGAAGATGACCACAGCAATACTGCATTTGAATAATATCCTCCTCTGTACTTTTATCACAGTATATATGCAATTAATTGTATCATATGTCTTTTGGGGATTAAAACACAAATATTTCTGGTTTTCTTTAATTTTGACAGTTTCCTATTTGTTTAAAATATCAAATGTGATTTGAATGATTCAAACTAATTTGTGTTTTCTTCCCAAAACAATATGTTTTATTGAGACTGTCTTCTAGAATGTAACTAAAACAAATTTAAAATTATGAATTTAGAGATACAAAAAAGATCTAGGTATTCAAAGTGATTCTGTGTCTGCTTGATTTTGAAATTGTATTATGGAATGTTGTTCTACCACTTTCTTAGAACACTAGTCTCCCATAAATACAGCATTGAATCAATTTACCCAGATTTTATCCCCAAATTTCAAGCTATCTTATAATATTCAACACTCATGATTTCCTTCTCTCTCCCCAGTTCTCATAGGGACAGGTCTTTAAAAGAAGTCAAAGCTTTTAAAATGAGACATTTCAATTCTTTGAGGTGAGGAGGTTTTTTTTTTTTTTTTTTTTTTTTGAGTTAGAGTCTCACTCTGTTGCCCAGACTGGAGTGCCGTGGCACACTCACGGTCACTCCAGCCTAGACTTACTGGGCTCAGACAATCCTTTCTCCTCAGCCTTCTAAGTGGCTGGAACTACAGGTATAAGCCACCACACCAAGCTTATTTTTTTATTTATTGTAGAGACAAGGTCTTACCAAGTTGCCCAGGCCTGTCTTGAACTCCTGAGCTCAGGCAATCCTCTTGCCTCAGCCTCCTAAAGTGCTGGGATTACAGGCTTGAGCCACTGCACCCGGCCTGAAGAGATCTTTTATCAAAGTAAAGAGTTCTTTGGGTCAAGTTCAACATTTAGAAAATATTTTATTGAGATAAAATTCATGGAATGAAATTCATCTCTTTAACTCTTTTAAAGTTTACAATTCAGTGGTTTTTAGTGTGCCTATAATGTTGTAAAACCACAATTGCCATCTAATTCCAGAACATTTCCACCCTCCCAAAAAGAAACTCTGTACCTCCCAGTTCTTTCTTCTCCCAATCCTTGACAACTACTAATCAATTTTTCATCTGTATGGATTTGCCTACTCTTGACATTTATTTACATGAAATCATAAAATACTCATGTTGCTTCTTTCACTTCGCATGTCTTCAAGATTCATCCATGTTTTAGCATATGTTAGTACTTCTTTCCTTTTTATGGCTGAATAATATTCCATTGCATGGATAGACTCCATTTTGCATATTCATTCACTCATCAATGTACATTTGGGTTGTTTCCGCTTTCTATTATGAATTATGTTTCTGTGAATATTCATGTACAAGTTTATGTGTGAACATGTGTTTTCAATTCTTTTGGGCTTATATCTGGGATTGGAATTGCTGGATCATATAGTCACCCTATGTTTAACTTTTTGAGGAACTGCCAAAATGTTTTCCACATTGTTGTAACATTTTACATAAAAATATTTTATATGTATTTTCTGTATGTGTGCAAACTGTATATTTTTATACTAGAGGTTTCCTTTCCTAGTTTTATTATAAAGTAAAAAAAAACCACTTGAGTGATTTTTAACTTGGGTGTTCAAGGGGAAAAGTTAAATAAAAGAAACTTCCACTTAGCAAAATGAAGCAATTATCTCATATAAGATGTGTGTGTGTGTGTGTGTGTGTGTGTGTGTGTGTGTGTGTGTGTGTGTATAATCTTGCCATTGCTTAAAAAACTTATGATATATAAAGTATTTGAATATTCTCATTTAAAATTTGATATTTATTCATTTTAACTATCATAAAGAAATATTGTTGGTTGAAAAACCATTGAAATTCTTCTTGGAAAATATTTTCATTACTAACTATTAAAAAGAAAGTAATAACTTTCAACATTATAATGCATACTGTACTTTAAGAGCTACATTTATATTTCACAGAAGTAGATTTTAACCCAAGACACAGAACCTCGCTTGCCAACGAGAATCTTCTAGAAGAGAAGAGAAGAGAAGAGAAGATTGGCAGAATTTTTTTAAAGTGCCAAGACTTGCCTGTGAAATCGTCTGCGTGCATAGTATTAATGAGGTGCTTTTTCAGATGGACCAAGCCCTTGGCCACAGATCCCTGGTAAGTGTCCTCAGTGTGGTTGCCTGCTTTTATTTAATAATTTCTGTTCAGTGTTGGTTCTGTAGATATAAATTATCTGAATCTTAATGTGTCAAAAAGCCAAATCATTCCAGAAAGCTATGAATTCTGCCTTTCATTTTGTGACTCATTTTTGTTATTAAACCCCAACCTGGCTGGGCTCAGTGGCTCAGCCTGTAATCCCAGCACTTTGGGAGGCTGACGCGAGTGGATTGCCTGAGCCCATGGGCTCGAGACCAGTCTGGGTAACTTGGTGAGACCTTGCCTCTACAATAAATAAAAAACAAGCCAGGCATGGAGCGTGTGCCTGTAGTTCTGGCTGCTTGGAAGGCTGAGGTAAAGGATCACCAGAGCCCATCAACTGGACACTGGGGTGGCCATGAGTATGCCATAATGGCACTCCAGCCTGGGCAACAGAGTGAGACTCCAACTCAAAAACAAAAAACAAACAAACAAAAAACCTGAGCCTCTCTACTTTCCCTGAAATATACGTAAATGGAATCCACTCAACGAAAGTTCTCTGATTCTTGCTCCAAACTACCCTCCAAACTACCCTCCAAACTACCCTCTTAGTTCAGTTAGTTTCCCTTGCAACTTCCCTCCTTCTAGTTGGTTCCAGTTAATGGCATCTCAGATACACTGGTCTCAGCAGTGCCCCTGAACAAAGCTGTCTCCCTGCCTCCCTCCTCTGGTTTTAATTCTGAGAGTCACCTCCATTCACTCATCTTTCCATTTGAGTCTCACCTTTAGAGTGTCCCCACCATCCCCAGCACAATGGAGACCACAAACACAAAGGGGGTTCAGCACATCCTTCTTGGCTGATTAAAGAGAGAAATCGTAAGATGGCAACCAGGAAGGGGGAACACTAATCTTGTCACCAATGACAAGTCAGCTGGTAGCAGCAGGCTGTTAGAAAGAAAAAGAAGTTTTCTGGAATTAATTTCTTTGTTCCTTTTCTTTTTGTTTCACATAAAAAGGAACAGTTAAAATTAACCTGCATTTTTGTTTTTCTGTAGGTTACTTATATTTATTCTCTTTTCCGTGCAACATGTATATGGGGTAAGTATATTCATTAGCTTTGATTGCATGTTGAAAATTCATTTTATCAAAGGTGTGATTTTTGTTGTAGTTTCAAACAAGTCACTCCCGGGGACTCAGTTTTCTCATCTGTAAAATGGAGGGTTGGATTAAATAAACTTTATATTTCTTTTATATTTCTAGTCAAGACTACTTAATGAATTGCCTAGGTATTGAAGAGTTCTTTATCTTATCTTATTTTAATTTTTACTTTTGAGTTGGAGTCTCACTCTGTCACCCAGGCTGGAGTGCAATGGCACGCTCACAGCCACCCCAGCGTTGACATGCTGGGCTCTGGCAATCCTTCCATCTCAGTCTTCTAAGTAGCTGGAACTACAGGCATGCGCTACCATGCCAAGCTAATTTTTAATTTTATTGTAGAGATGAGGTCTCACCAAGTTGCCCGGGCGGTCTCAAACCCATGGACTCAGGCAATCCACTCGCCTTGGTCTCTCAAAGTGCTGGGATTACAGGCGAGCCACCAAGCCTGGACTTATTTTACTTTTAAAAAAATGTAATTGAGATGTTACTGTGTTGCTCAAGTCAGACTGCAGTGGCACAATCACAGCTCACCGCAGTCTCGATCTCCTGGGCTCAGGCTATCTTTCTGCCTTGGTCTTCCAAGTGGCTGAGGCTACAGGAACATGCCATTCTGCCCAGCCAATTTTTTGATTTGTGTAGAGATGAGGCCTTACTATGTTGCCTAGGCTGGTCCCAAACTCCTGAACTAAAGGAATTCTCCCACCTCAGCCTCCCAGATTGTTGGGATTGCAGGTGTGAGCCACTGCACCTGGCCAGGATTCTTTATTTTATAACTAAAATATTTTTGGCAGCAAGCAGGATACAGCTGGGTTGTTTCAAGATGGACTCAAAAAGTATGATTAAAATGTAATATTTTAGCACAGAAGAAAGATAAGCCTAGAACATTCAGTAATAAGTTCTCTTTCTTCTGCTTTCTCACTAAAGAATCTAAGTTATTAAACCCAACCTCAGATGTGTTTGGGGAATCCCATTATAGGCTGCCGGTGACTCACACTGATCTTGAGACAACTGAACTGGTTTAAGCCACTCTAGTGAACTCCTCTCTATTTGTTCTTACTCTCTACCTTGGATTTACTCAATCCAATTTCAGTGATGCAAGTTTTTGAAGCAAATCAAAGTAGAAAATTGCCTTCTGTTCTCTTTTCCCCATCAGCTGGGAGCAGAAAGCACTTGGGCAAGGAATGCAGAGCCTGTAGTTCTTGTCTCTGCTGATGATTCATCCCTTAAACCTATCCAAGACTCAGTTATCTCCTGTGTTAAGTAGGGATGACAAGATTGCCCAGCTTAGTTCACAAGCATATGAGAGCATCACCTGAAGTAGCAAGTGGAAAGGCACAGCACATGTATACATTATTCCTATGTCTCTTACCTATTTTTTCTAGGTTCCTTTTTGTATTGCATTCCTTTTTCAATCATGAAAGTCTGCAAAGTCCTACCTTTTTCTTCATTTCTTATAGTCAACGCAAGTCAATATAATCCCTGAACCAAAGACTGTTCTATCCTGGACCCTCCTATGAGCTTGTGCTATGCAGAGCTTCTGGAGATTTCACACAGGGTGTGGCTAAACTACTGTTGGGCTTTAAAGGAAGCAAGACCAATTGGTTTGGTAACTGTGCGAGGAAAAGATGGTGTTTCCCATGGGGATTTTAAACACACATACTTATTGACACAGGAATGGGTCTTTTGGGAGTTTGTCCTATGTATTTATTCTGACTTATGCACAAAGATAAATATCCATATGAATACTAATTGCATGGTAGTGCTCAGTAGTGAGAGAAGGTAGCTACCTAAGAGTCCAACAGTAAAGACTGGTTAAACAAGATATGGTACTTGGTGTGGGGGCAAGTCGCATGCATGGCTTCAGAATGATTTTGAGACTTACCATTATGTGAAAAATACGAAGTACAGAGCAATATATCATCTGAGTAAAAATCAAAGAAGTCCCAAATCACCAAAACTATGTGTGTCTGTGTGCACATTTGTGCACATGTGTGCCCAAGCACCTGCATATGTGATCATTGTGGGAATATGCTTATTGATGCCCAACACTGATTTGCAAAGAATTATCCTATAAAAGAGGGAACTTGGGGCCAGTGTTAAAAGAGAACATTTCTTTTCCAGTTATGCTCTTTTGAGCTATTTGAATTTTTAAATCATGTGCCTTTTTTCAAAAGAGAAAATAGAAATGTAGTGCAAATTATTAATCATCTCAAAATTAATAACTTCTTTTCTTGAATTTTCTTTCTTTTTCTTTTTTTGAAAAGTTGGAGTCTCACTCTGTCGCCCAGGCTGGAGTGCAATGGCATGCTCAAGGCCACCCCAGCGTCAAACTGCTGGGCTCCAGCGATCCTTCTGCCTCAGCCTTCCAAGTAGCTAGAACTACAGGCCCAGCTCATTTTTTATTTATTGTAGAGATGAGGTCTCGCCAAGTTGCCCGAGGTGGTCTCAAACCCGCGAACTCAGGCAATCTACTTGCCTCGGCCTCCTAAAGTGCTGGGATTACAGACTGAGCCATTGAGCTAGACCCTTTTTTTAAACTTTCTATAAGACAAATATTTGTTTAAAAATACCTGAGAGAAAACAGACAGTGACTTTTTCTTTTTGCTCTTTGAAAAAGAGTAACATTAATTTTTGAGAGTGTAAGTGTATTCCTGACAAATGTGGTTCATACTTTGAATGTTTAGTTGTCAGAGATATCATCTTTATCTTTTAAAATAGGTTTATATAATCTATTTTTGAGGTGCAAACTCTCTATAAATTCACCCTCCTCTTTTCAGTGTTTCTTGGGTATGCTCATGCATAAGAACTTTGTAGAGACCCAAATCCCCTTGTCTAAGTCAAAGCTTTATTGACAATCCCTGTTTCTTAATATAACAATTCCTGTTTGTTTATTAGAATCTGCAAATCTATTTTAAACCTATTTTAAACCGATTCTTCCCTGAAACATAACTTTGCCAAACATCTCAGTGATGCTTGGCAAAAATAAGCAAAAATAATAATAACAAACCTGCCCTTATTATCAAGTCATCTAATCAACTGACCTTTTTTTTCCTCTGGTTGTTTTGATATTTCAGTGAACAGATGGTAATGAAGCCCAACCTTAAATGAACCCAAGTATTCAGAGTAGTTACTTTAAGTGCTTTCATGCTGTCCCGACCTGGCCCCTGGCATTTAATTTTTTTAAAGTCTTATCAGGGTTTTGAATTTAATATTTCTGCATTTATAGATAACAATGTTACTCAAAACTCAAGAGGCATATATTTCTGAAACTTCAAATACATTATAAAACTTAAATTATCTCATTGTTTGGCTCTTTTCAAGTTTCAAATTCTTATATACTTTTAATAACCCATGAGAATTTTGTTTGTAAAGATGTCTTTTTAAATTAACACTTAAAGATATTTTATTTTGGATTGGGCCTGAGCATGTTTTTCTTAAAAAAAAGCCAGTCTAAATTGTGTGATTGAAAAGAAAATATATATTCTGTATAGCTTTCTTTCCCTCCTATACACACATATATGAATATACACACGTATAATCACATACACATATATATAATCATATGTATTGCCTTATACCTGTGCATATAGGTACATATGTATATACTTATATGTATATATGTCTTTATGAGAACTATAAATATTGGTTCAGTTGTTATAAAACCCTTTTCAGGAAAGGGAAAAGGGATTCACCCAGAACGGTGCTCGCTGACCACTGCCAGATTCTCTGTTCTGCAAAGCTGAGAACCCCATTGGTTGCTCTCTATGAGGTCTCTTGAACATTTATTAACATCTCGTCTTTGTTCTGACAGCAGCAGTTAGAGCCTGCTATTTTGTTTGTGGTGAAGTATTAGGTCAAACAATTCTTTAGTTAAAATTACTCTCACAATCTTACAAGAAAGGAGTGTGTTATACAAGCTTTGGACAAGTTTTGAGTCAGATGAATTTTTGAGTTTTCCCATTATACATTGGTCTAAATTCTTAAGTTTACAGCCTCAGGTTTAAAAAGGTCTATCCATTATACAAGATGTTTGGTTAATATATAAATATTGCAGTGAGGACTGGACTAGGCAAGATCATGCACCAGGCAAAGTTTATCTCTGATGCCTTCTTGATATTCCTATCCATGCCCTCAGGGCCTAGCACCTAGAGCTGCTTTGTGGGGGCTTAAACCACCACTCCCTCCTCACCCACAGCCTCAACCTGGGAATGTGTGCTCAGTGCTCATTCCAATGCAGGTGCATTGTGGTGACTCTGTTTGTTCTTCGGGCTCTAATTATGGAAACAGTTACTCTGGGTTATACTTTGTATTCTTCCTAAAGGGCATGTGTGTGTATAGGGTGACTGTCTACAGAAAGTGTTGAAGAAAAGTTAACTAAAAGTAGGAAAAGGTCCAAATCATTCAAGTTCAGGAGTTCCTGGTTGAAGAGCACATTAGAGGAATTATCCTGAAGTCTTTGCAAATTGTAGGAAGAACAATTTCTATCTGAAGCCCAGGGCTGTGACTGGAAAATTGTCCTAGCAAGGACAATTTGATGAGAAAGACATACCCTAGCTGATTTTGAAAGTTAAGCAAGGAGACTCTGAAAAAAAAAAAAGGTAAAACCTTTAATTTAAACTAGACTCCATTGTGGACTTACAGTTTGCCTAACTGCATAGTTTATTTCTAGGATTGTTCACATCTTAGTAACTTAAGTCTTATCAGGAGAGAGAAATTGCAGAAGATTCTAGTTAAAGCAAAATGGTTTTAGAAAGATACTCCACTCCCCTCCCCCCGAGTGTACTTGGTTTTGGAAGCATCTTGCTCATATATCAACTCTTATTATTAAGCCGCAGTATACATTCTTCACCTTTTTATATATCAATATTAGTCTTTTCTCCTCACAATTCAAAGGTAAACCGAGAATGCTTGTTATAATGTATATGTTATGTGCCGACTGAATAATGAGTACTGGTAGACTAAATAAGATGTTTCACTTTCCAGAGTGGGAAGAAATACATTGGTCCTTGTGGAGGAAGAGATTGCTTTGTTTGCCAGTGCTTTCCTGAAAAGGGGTCTCGGGTAAGTGCTGTAATAGCCAACGTCAACACCATACGTAAATTTTGAGCTCTTGTGAACATTTAGCATTAAGTAGTCCCAAATTCTTAGTATGTTTTAGTTGTTGATAATGTTTATGTCTCTTAAAGTCGTGGTTGTTCACATTCTCTTAGGCAATCCAAATTATCTTAGACAGTCTAGACTTAGGAGAAAGTTTAGGAAGTGTCAGTCCACTCAGTGTTTTACATGACACTAGTCTTGTGAATTGCACTAGGAAGAAAGAGTCCTGTTGTCAAGTGGCATACTAGGCACCACCATGAAATATCAGTATTTTAAAGGTTTTGAGAGGTACTGCAGTAAATGGAAAAAAATCTATTTAGCTTTGTTTAGGTCTTTCCAGACATGTGACCACAGGACTCTTTATTGGATAGTACCTACTGAAATCTATGGAATAGTGTGGGGTGTTTTGTTTGCTTGTTTTGTTTTGAGCCGAGGTCTCACTCTGTCACCCAGGCTGGAGTGCAGTGGCACAATTGTTGCACACTGCAGCCTCAAACTCCTGGGCTCAAGTGATCCTTCTGCCTCAGCCTCCTGAGTTGCTGGAACTACAGGCATGCACCACCACACGAGACTTAATTTATTATTTTTTGTAGTGATGGAGCCTCACTATGTTGCCCAGGCTGGTCTCAAACTCCTGGGCTCTTGCTATTCTCCCATCCTGGCCTCCCAGTGCTGGGATTACATTGCACCAGGTTGGAATCGTGCTCTAATTGAAGTGATAGTTGACATTTATTATGTGCCAGGCACTGTTCTATGTGTTCAAATTGCTTCAGCTGATTGACTTCTCTCAACAATCTTCTTATCATACCACCTTTGCAGTGCAGGAGACCAAAGCCCAGAACAGGTTAGTGCCTGTTCAAGTTCACCCAGAACAGTGCTCGCTGAACACTGCCAGATTCTCTGTTCTGCAAAACTGAGAACCCCTTGGTTGCTGTCTATGAGGTCTCTTGGACATTTATTAACATCTCCCCTATGTTCTGACAGCAGCAGTTAGCAGCCCATTAGTTCATTTGCGGTGAAGCATTAGATCAAACAATTCTTTAATTAAAATTACTCTCACAATCTCACAAGAAAGGAGTGTGTGATAGAAACTTTGGACAATTTTTGAGTCAGATGAATAATTCTTCTGTAATGCATCTTAATCCATTCAGGCTGCTGTAACAGGACCATGACTGGGTGGCTTAAATAATAGAAATTTATTTCTCACTGATTGGGAGGTTAGGACTTCACTTGTAATGAAAGTAAAACATTGTAGCTGCTGGGTTTTAGCATCCCTTTTGAACTCGAGGGGGCACTTTAATCTGCCAAGCCTCAGTTTGCTATTTACCCCCATCGTCCTTCTCTTCTGTGTCCTTGGGCTGTTAAAAAAAGCACAAGTCACTGCATGTGTAAAATGTGCACTTTGCACTCTGTAAAACCTTTTTTGGGTGATGGAGCTCCCAGGGCTGAGCTGTACTGATGAGCTATGTGTGTGTCCCTGTGTCTGGGTGGTCAGGGAGAACGGTGTGTGCAATACTGGGGAAGCTTGCCCTTCCTGGGATGAATGGGTCCCCCACAGGACAGCTGCACGTCGCTGGTGACATTTTCCAGCTGAGGATTTGGGAGCATGGCTTGTGCGTAATAGGGAGGGGGTTTTCGAGGATGGACTCCCAAGTCCTCAGCAGTCAGCCAACCTCCTGAGACACAGTGACTGCTGAAGGTGGACTATAAAAGCAGGGATACACCAAAATCCAGAGTTTTGGGGGTCTACCTGAGGCTGTATAGCCATGAGTGGGATAGCTGCGTATTCCTAAGAAAGGACATCCTCCTTACTTAAAGTCCCATGTCAAAGCTGCCGTGTCTACAGCAGCTGTGGACAGGCCCTGTGCCATGGGACAGCCGTGATCAGCAATTTCACTGGAGACTGGAGCTAGAGTTTGATGTGGAGTTGGGGCAACATAAGGTAGAAAACCAGGAGGGCGAGGGGCTCCTTGAATGCCCATACAATAAAGCCCAACCTCATCGATGCACCGCTGAAGACCCACAGTATAGCCTCAACTTGTGTTTTCATTTATAATCCCATCATAGCTCCTTCAAGAGCCCTCCCAGCTGCAGCAATTGGGCCCCTTGCTTCCTCTTGAAGATAATTTGAATATTCCCACGTCTCTACCCTTTTCTGAGTGCTTTCCCTCTTCCACTCTGCCTCTGTCTTTCTCGTTCTCCCTGCAAAGGAGCCCAGTGGAGATGTCACCCCACAAGGCCTTCTGACCTATCCCAGCCAGTACAACATCGCGCCTGTGGGACCCCCTAGCAGGCTGCATAACTGGTTCTCTTCCCTCACACTTCTCCCACCCTTCTCTGTAGCTCCGGTTGGGTTTGAGCATGGTTGTACCCGACCCTCTTGATTAGATCGCAAGCAGGTACTCCTTAAAGGTGGTCATGAGAAGACGTGTATCAAGTTTATTCTGATTCCTGATCCATGGTGGATACTCTAGAAAGTTTATCCTGACTCCTGACCTGTTGTGGACACTCTAGGACTATAATTTGCCTATCCTTGCTTCTTCCTTTTGGGAACTAGAGGTCATTTTTTTTTTTTTTGGTAATTCTTTGGGATTATCACAGATATCACATAATAAATCAATACATTAAAAATGTAGACTTTAGCCTGGACAGAGTTTGGGAGACTGAGCTGTGGTCAGGCCAGCGTGCAGGGGATCCTTGGGGGATCAGCCACACCCAAGTGAAGGGGGGACAGAGTTAGTGAAGGGTCTCTTCCCAACCCCTAGTCTGTCTTCCCTACACACTAGCATTCAAGCCTATGAGGAAATGTAAAATCTCACATAGTTCGGACAGCCTTGAGAATTTTAGGATGGGGTCAGAAATAAATGCTTTGAGCAGCAGCAACAATAAGACTGTCTCTGGGTGCAGACCTTTTAAAGGCACAGTGGCATCCTGGAAGAGCTTGAGGCAGAGGGTGGGAGCCTGAAGCTTACCCCTTTGGCGCTTTCCAGGTTCAGGGTCCTTACCTGGAAAATAAGCTTTGTTCTAGAAGGCTGGTCTGTCCCTCTCAGCTTCAGCAACTCTATGGTTCTGTGATCCGGACATGGGTTTTCATGTATGGCAGCTATTGAATTGGTTTCCAAAATGACTTATCAGAAAATTCTCTAATTGTGATAAAATGCCAGAGAGTTCTTGGAGGAGGAAGTTGAGGGGGAAATAAAAAAGCAGAACCAACAGCCTCAGGAGTTAAGCCAACAGATCAACTTTGCCAACTTGCAGTTGTCACTAATTAATAGGCCCTAATATTTCTCTGAACCTCATTATAGCACCTCTTTAATAAAGGTTTTATACCATTTTTTATCAGTTTCAAGGGAGGATGATGCTGTATGGGGTTGATGGTTGTCTCCTTGTAGGGAAAAGTATGTGTCCTTGCAAACTAGGATGGGACCCTTTTATATGTTCTACTTCAGTAACTAGGTTGATTATAAAGACACCTCCTATAATATTTTTCAGAATGTAATACATCCATATTGTCTTCCATTTATGGGAGCTTAGCAAAGATGAAATCAACAAAACCTTGTGATGTGATGGTTTTATAAACAAGAAGCTCAAATGGCTTAAAACTCAAGAGTGATCTTAGTTTTTGTTTTTGTTTTTTGTTTTTGTCTCTTGGTTTTAAACCCAAATCAAACATTAGCGAGTCACTCTTCCTCTTGGGAATTTCAAATCACTAAAAAATGTACAAGTATTTTTCCTGCAATCTCATTCATTCATCCCTTACACTCCTAAGAGCTTGCATTCCATGATAAAAAAGGAATTTGCTTGGGAAATTCTAATTATTGTTAACAGTTTTCATTTCATTAAGTTATTTGCACTCAGAGTTCTGGAACTCAATCTCATTATCACTCACACAGCTGTACTCTAGGACACTTTCTAGCTGCAACCTGATAAATGGTTCACAGCAAGTGTTTTTATGTCCCAAAGTTCCACTGTGTTCTGTTTTGATGTAAACAGGTCAGGTCCCAGGGACAACTACAAGTTGGCAAAATTGGTCTGTTGCCCCAACTCCTGAGGCTATTGGTTCCACTTCTCCCCCATCCCTCTTCATCTTCTTCCTCCAAGAACTCTCTGACTCATTTTTATCACAATTAGAGAATCTTCTGATAAATGAAGTCCTTGTCTGAGATGGCAGACTCAGGTGCCTTTAAGAAACAGCAGATGACCTGAATGGGGACTGGGATGGAATGGGACCATTGGCACTGGGGCTATGGGGACCTGGACATCGTATTTGTTATGTTAAAGCATCAGAATTTAGATTTTTCTAAAAGTTGGTGCCTAACAATTAAACACATTCTCTAGTGGAATTCAGCTCACCAGCTTTCAATTTACAGCTTTGGTTTAGTTTGTTAATGTGTCCCTCCCCCGCCCCCAATCCCATCAGGAACAATAACCTTAGTTTCTGGAGAATGGAAACCTGCAAAAGTTAAAAGATATATCTCCAGCTATAGGATGGCCTATATCAGTGCTTGAGGAAGGATTTCTTTTTCATTTTTACTTTTGAGTCAGGGTCTCACACTATCACTTAGGCTGGAGTACAGTGGCAAGATTATAGTTCAATGTAGTCTTGACCTCCTGGGCCCAGTGATCTTCCCTGTCTCAGTCTCCCAAGTAACTGGAACTACAGATGCATGTCACCACACACAATTTTTTTTTTTAATTTGTTTGTATTTTTATTTTTTGAGTTGCAGTCTCACTCTGCTGCCTAGGCTGGAGTGCGACCTGCTGGGCTCAGGCAATTCTTCCGCTTCAGCCTTTCAAGTAGTTGGAATTACAGGCACATGCTACCACGCCCAACTAGTTTTTTAATTTATTGTAGAGATGAGGTCTCGCCTAGTTGCCTGGGCTGGTCTCGAAGCCCTGGGCTTAGGCAGTCCTCTCACCTCGGCATCAAGTCACTGCACCCGGCTTTTTTTTTTTTAGGGATG